CGGAGCCTGGCTGGGGGGAGAGAGGGAGGCATCAGATGACATGACAAAATAAGTCATGTCTCTCGATCATTTCAATGCCACCCCCTCTCTCCCGGCCTCTGCCTTCCATTTTAATCACTGACAGCCCTTCAAGTATTATGGATATATATAATCTTTTTAATATCACTGACATTTTCCACGATGGAAAGCATCTCGGGGGTGCTGAGACATTCTGGGGCGGGGGGAGGTCGTGCCTTCCTGCTGCTCCTGCCACACAAAGTGCAGAGCTGAGATCCATCTTGCCYGAGGGTCCTGCCTCGGGTTTTGGGGAGGCCGTGTACCTCGGGGGGTTTTGCAGATCTCAGCAGCCTGATATTCCCAACCGGGTCTGGCTGTGCAGGCTGGGTAAGCATCCAGTCCCACTCCCAGCCGCAGTGTGGGAAAAAAACACATCCAGCATCCAAAGCCTCCGCAGGTCAGCCCGGAGAACATCCCAGCTCGGGAAGGGGCAGGCATTCTTCACGGCAGCCCAAGCTCCAGGCTTTGCCTCCATTCCCAGCGCTGCTGCTTCACTCTGTCAGATGGTGAGGCAGACAGCTTGCCTTTCTTCAGGCAGTGATTTGTTTTTTTAYAAGCAAAGTGAACCTCTCCACGGGGAAGACACTCCAAGAGGTGTTTTTGGAGCTGTACAAACGTGGGTTTTCTTTGCTGCGTGGCTCACAACCCCTCTGTGGAAATGGGATCCATTTGCTTGCCCTCAGAAGCCTGGCTGCTCACCCAGATCCCCTCAGAAACCGAGAAACCTCTGTAAATGCACTGTCACCTTCTGCTTGCAGCATTTCCCTGCAATTCCCCCTCTTCCATCCTCTCTGGTGATGATGGTGTCTTCAGGCCCCACTCACATGATGGGTTTGGAATTCAACTCCCAAGGCCAGGAAGGTCGCTCACCTTGGTKATTTAGCAAACACGACACAAATTATTAACACTAATACAAATAATGCCCACGTTTGGGAGAGGAGAAGGGATAATTTCCKTGYCTGGTTGCAAGGACTGGGYCTTACAGGGTCCTGCAGAGTGCAYGGCTGACAGCCCTGAGGGTCTCTGTGCTGASGACAGAGCSCACACCTCACACTGGGCCTGTAAATGAAGGGTACACATTTCTAAAGCTGCTCTGTGGGAGCCGGCTCTAATTCCACTGCAGTTCCCGTCGTGTAACTTCCACAAATCAAAACAAAAAAAAAAAAAAAAAAAAAAAAAGCAGCTGGCTCAGAAAAAGCTGCAGCAGCCAGACAGCAGAGTATCACAGTTGTTGGCCCAGCACATCCCTTCCTGCATGCTGCTTGTACCTTGTCCCTTGAGGACATTCTTGTCCAAGGCTGGAAGAAGCACCAGCAATATTGATGACAAAAAATTATGAGATGAAATTAGGCTGTTCCCAGGTTTGTTCTCCTTTGCAGAACTCCCATACCACCCACCTGCCCTGTGCCAGCAGCCTCCTCCCTCRGAAGGGAAGATGCCAGCACAGGACATTCTTCCATCGTACGTGACTGATGTAAGGCTTTCATCCAGCTGGTGTTGTATTAACAGATTTTCCTGTGGGTAGATGAACAATGGAGGTTGGTTTCCATGGGCTGGATTGGAGATATGGATCCATGGAGACGTGGATGGGCTTTGCCATCCTTTAAGGTAAAGCTACCACATGAAAGGATTCCTGCYTCTGAGACAATCACGTTGCCTGTAGAACATGCAGGCTCCTAGAAACAGATGGCTTGAGCAGTTTGAGTTGGGCAGATTCACAAGCTGATAATCATCTCCAGAGAGGCAGGAGCTATTGTCAGAGCCTGTAAGACACACCCCAACTTCAGGCCTTTTTCCTCCTAATTCTCAAAATGTTGCTGAAATTCTGACTCCAGGAATGCTGAGCAGAGCCTTCCCTTTGTGGGTCTGTGCCTGCTAAGCCAGAGGAGCTCCTGCTGCCACAGAAGCCAAAATGCTTCCCCACACCCCACTAAGAGAAAACGTCTCAAAACATCAGGGGCCTCACCTGGCCAGAGAAAAGAACAAGCTGTGCTTTGCCATGGTACTGCTGGGAGCCAAAGGGAGGAACAGATCCTCTCCCCAGGGACAGCACAGGAGTTGAAATGAGAAAGCAGAAGACACCAATTCAGCAGAAGAAGCAGTCATTTCACGCTGTGTGTGCAGCTCCAAGCCGTGTGCCAGCTCAGGGACAGGAGCACGTGCCTGAGGGACACACCTGGAGCCACTGAACTCGTGACAGTGACGCTCAGCACGGATAGGCATCTGCTGCCTAAGAGCTCCAGTGGGATCACCATCCCCAACTAATGATCCACACTGATGTCACTGCTCTGCGGGGCCAAAGCCTTCCTGGGGAATGCTGTCCAGCTGCTTTAGCAGGAAGGTGGCACTTCAGTGACAGCAGGCCACGACAGACCCCGCAGCCAGCTCTGCCTTGGGAACCTGTTCCAAGTGAAGTCCAGTGTAACACACTCAGGCCTGGGATGCCTCCACAAAAAGCCCCATTCCAGCTGTGATGCACACAGGTGGAAAACAGTGATGACTCCAGACACACAGGCAGATGGACAGGCAGGAGGGCTGGCTCCAACATGAGGCCTTACCATGCTCACAACATTTATACCACAAATTCCTCTTATTWAATTCAAGAGTGGTTAGTCCTGGAAGGCAACACGTAAGACTTGTCTCAGAATGGGGCATGAGTACCTGGAGCTGAATGGAAAGAGATGGCAAGATCAGCACAAGAAGGAAATTTGTGAGTGTAAAACCAGGCAGGGTGGCACACCCATTGGGATAATGCTTTTACTGGGATCCAGAATGCCTCTTGTCAGCAAGTCCCGAGGGGAGACTGGACAAGCAGCCAAAAATATAATCAAAACCAGGATGGATTTGTCTACTGTCCTGGTAGCAGTGCTCATGAGCACAAGGAACACCCTGCTCACTCACCTGCTAGCCAAGCACAATCCAGACACAAAGAACATACCTCATGTTGACTGGCACTTTTAAATTCTCCTTCAGCAGAAATGCCAGTATTTTCCAGTCTTAACATTTTCTGAGGTGCTGGTATTTCTTGCCTCATCTCTTCTTGGCAAGCATCATCTGTGGCAGCAACAGATGATCTAGCAATAGTCTCACATCAGAGTGTGTCAGAAAAGAGGCAGCCCAGTATTTGTAATCACTGAATCACTTCACAAAGAAGAATCTCCACTCCATCTGTGTAAATACCGTTATTTATTTATTTTTAAAAAGCAAGTCTATTTCTACATGCAAAGGGCTTCACTCTCCCCTTCTGAGCACTGCTTTASGTCCTCAAATAAAGACACCATTTCACTCACCATTGAATCCAGCAGCTTGTAAACCTGCAGCAGAAATTCAGAGAAGACAGCTGCAGTGAAAACACATGAAGAACTCCTGAGGCTGAGACTGACAGAGATGGTTTCTGAGGTACATTATCATATGGGCACACGCACCACCACACAGAAGTGGCAGCCTGCTGCTAACAGAGCTCTAGTAATAACTTCCCTGGCTATGAAGTGTGTTTAACATTATCTGAGGTACAATTAATTCAGCTGATCCCTCCAGAGCCTGCAAGCAATGCTAAAGACATCCCAGATAGAAGTCCCGCATGTGGCTATGCRATGGCTGGATTTCTGCTAACAGATTCCAGGCTGAAACAAATTAATTTGGATTTCACACTTACCTTGCTGCAGCACGAGGGACATATGTCTGCCAGTTTTCTGAGCTGAACAAAATGCTTACCTCACCCCCGAGCCTCAGTGTGCCTTACAAGCAAACAACAAAACCAAGAATACAAGCTTTGGTCTGACTCACTTCAAGGTAGAGCTTTTCCCGGTATGATTCAAGTGAAAGAGGGTCCACCTGCACTTGAGCAGGTCGTGCCCTATGTGCAGCTCCATGTCGAGACTCCACATGGTGCTTCTCATCTTTTTCTCTGACCAACTCTCCTTTCCCTCTCACGTCATGCACTGAAATGGAAGATGGATGCTTCTCATCTTTTGCTTTTGGCTTTTTGCTGCTTGAATGATCCTAACCAGGGACAGACCAAGGAAAAAAAAAAAGGACACAGGTCAGGACACTGCTCAGACTGCTGCAAGATGCACTTCCCAGCAGCAGCATCTCTTCCACTGGGCTGGAAATCAGCTCAAAATCAGCATACACAACCTCAGGATGGATCACAGTGTCCCCAGCACTCAGAGTTGACCAGGCACCCCAGTACCTACCACTTTCTCTTTCCCTGCTGCCCCTCTACTTTTTTTGCCTTCTTTGTCCTTTTTCTCTTCTTTCTTACTGGCTTCCTTTCCTCCTTTTTTTGCTTCTCCATGCTTTACTTCCTCTACAAAAGAAAAKATTTCAATAAACCAAAAGAATCCACACATCCAGAAAGACCAGCCCACTGCACTAACACAGTGGCAGTGTTTTTGCRATGTTTTCCTCTTTTTATTAATCTGAGCTGTACTGCACTGAAAAACAAAACCTTGAAGAGTTCTTTGTTTAAGTAAGAAATGAAAAAGTCTCATTGAGGCACTCTTTGCTGGGTTGGTCTGTGTGAAAACCATGGCTACACCTAGCTGAATTGAAAGGCTTTTTTGTGGGGGTGTGTTTTTTTTACTGCCAAACCACATATCCCAATTAGAATTGTGACTGTCACGCAATCTGCCAGTTTTCTCCTGATGCTTTTTCCTCAGGGGGACATGCTSAAATTGACATTTCAGCTGAAATTCATCATGTTTTCTGTATTTCCAACAGCCCACAGAAAGCAATTGCTCTGCTAAAACCACCATTTACCTGTTTCCTCTGGAACTTCTTGTACATGGGTGTCCTTCTCAATCAAACCAAACACGGATTTCAGCCTCACAGAGTGACTCACCAGGTCATCAATTACTCTACGCCACAGCTGGAGGCTGAGGAAAGGATCAGGATCAGAAAGGAGACAGTGCAGCAACTGCCACTTTGTTTATCCCACAYTTCTTTGTGCCCAGAAATGAAGGTCCCTCATAGCTGAGAGCTGCCCTGTGCAACTAAACCAAACAAAACAGCACCCACTGTCCAAATATCAGTGMAGGGGGATGCTAAATTGCTTTCCTCGTGTTAGATCCCTCCAAGGTCTCAATGGTTTGCAAATCAACAGGCTCCCAGGGACCCATTAATATTATTATGAAACTAGGTCTGCTCTTCAACATGACACACATTGGTAAATCAGCATCAACCTGCTCTGTGTTTACCAAGAGGAACCTGCATCCTTCTAATTTAGAAGCTGTTGATATGTTTACAGTCTGAAAGCCTGAGCAAAGAACAGAGAGACTGCATGAGTGAGGAGACAGTTATCTCAGTAAAAGGGTACAGAAAATACCCAAAGGTTTCATAAATAYAGACTGGAATAATCTTGCCACAAATAATCTTGTACACTCTCCAAAATTACATGCATTTAATATTCTAAACTTATCACCAGGAAAAAAAAAAAAACATTTGGGTCCTAGACAGCTGCTACAATTAAGCTATAAAAAAACAGTGTAAAGATGACTTCTAGACCTTGGATAATTATGTGCACTCTGAATCACAACACTGGCAACAGAGCTCGCTGAGGCTGTTGATCACACAATGTTTTCACAAGCTTTCCTTGCAAAGGTAACCCACCAGAGTGGATGCAGAAGCTCTGACTGAGGTGGCCTCTGTTTAACACACAGCTGCAGAGCTGCCTTATTGAGCTGGGTCAGTGCTTCTTCCTGCTCCCTCTCCCCGGGGATTGACATTATAGCCTGTGAGAAAAAACACAGGGGCTGTGGAGCACTTCTCAGTTTTCATTCCCAGACCCTGAGATCAATGGAGCAGCCCAYAGCTCTCTTCCCAGACACCAGTCTAAAACCAGACTGCATTGGGTACTTACATACCCAGATGTGGCTTTCTGCAACTCTGGGATTTGGCCAAGGTACCCAAGACCTGGGGAACAATCCCAGACTCCCTCATCAGRCTGATATTAAACCCCTTTGCAATTTCAGGTGTGCTGGGAAATAGGGATTCTATCGTGCTAGAAGGCTCTCTAGTAAAGCTTCATTATAAAAACAGCAGAGAGGTTTCCAGGAGAGCACAACAGAAAAACCACTGACAATATCCCAACCACTCTTGTTTTAATCTAGGGAGGTCTGTACTTTATCCACAGCCTGTCAKAAGTGCCCCCTTAGTTCTCTGATGAATAGGAAGGACTCTCCAAGAARAGGAGCCCTTGGGGGAGCCATGGGAGGCTGTAAGCCCAGCCTGCCCCCCACATTCAGTCTGGGGATGACAGAAAGCTAATGGAGGAAGAGCTTAAAATATCCATTATATTGTGTGGTTCCCTTTTCTTCTTCACACAACAGCCCACAAAGTCTCTCTTGGGAATCTCTTCACAAGAGCACTGAGGGTGTGGTCAGCAGAGTCAACACACATCAWAAATCTCTTTAACTCCCAGCATGCTGGCAGCAGCCCTTTGGGTGGGCTCACACTGGGACAGGCTGGGCTGTTTGTAGGAGAATTAACACAGCACCAGTGGGAACGGAGGTGACCACCTGTTTAAAGTCTTTGAGGGAAAGGTTCCATCCTGAAGGACCTGCTTCTTCCTCCTCAATGCTCCTTTCCCTTGGAGCCTCCTCTAGTGTGTACTTTCCACCTGGGAGCTCTGTGGCGCTGCTCGGGGTGTAGGGAGGCTCCAAGGTGCTCTCCTGGTACTCTGTGTACTCCGCAGTGCTCCTCTGGTCCAAGGGCAGCTCCTCCTCCAATTCTGAAAACACAGGCATGTGCCGTCTCCATAGTTCATGCAGCTGCTGTACCACTTGATGCTGATAATGCAACTGTTATAACAGGGGGAAAAGGTAAACATGAGCTGCAACTTCCCTCTTCCAACCCAACTGTTAAAGCCTCCACGGCAGATTCTGCCAGCTCTAGAATGCCAGGGATGCAGCAGCCCCATGGGTCTTATTTCAGTTGTGCAGCCCATTCAATAGCAAACATCACCTCRGGATTTTTCCTGTGGAACAGCTCTTCCTCTGTGACATAGGCATCCACAGGAGAYGGGGTGCGCTCGGGGGTCCGAATTTGGTCAAGAAGTTCATTCAGGCTCTCTCTCACTACAGCAGCACGTTCTCGAGCAGCCAGCTCATTCTGAGGCACCACAACAAATCAGCATGTGTGAGCCCCCATTCCACAAACAAACAAATTCAGTCCCATTTGTAACCAACCACTCATTACACAGTTACAAGGATGTGAACAACTGCAAACCCTGCTGAGCAGAGCAATACTTCCAACAGCTTTTCAAATAAACCCTACAAATCCTCCCTCAAACTATACTTTTCAATGAACAGTGTAATTTTCAATTTATACCTTAACTGCTAACATAGTGTACAACAGTCAATCCCCTTCCCACTAAGTAACTAAWGAAATTAATTACCAACAGAAATTTCATTCTTCAAAGGACCAGTGTGAACACTTTAGGAGACACAGTCATGTCTTCAGTAACATTACAAAAGACTGCAGAGTTGCCCATGTTATTTAGCAAACCTGCTCAAGTATGTGCAGACGTTCTGTAAATCTCACTCTCAGCAGTAATTGCACAGCAATAAAAATACCATGTTGTCCACTCCCACCCTTATCCTCTATTTGCATATAAAGTTCAAAGCTCAGTTACCCAGTTACATGCTTGGTTACCTCCAGTTTCTCTCTGAAGCCAGCCAATTTATCCTCATACACAGCAACTCCCCAAAGGGTCACCTTAAGCAAAGCTCCTCCTAATAACTGAGGATGTGTCCTAAATTCCCAGGGCTCGCTGAAAACACCTGCTCTCTCTGACTTGAAAATAAAGATAAACTTCCGACAYTCTCCAGGTACAATTACACCTGAAATAAGAGAGAAAATGCATTGGTCTGCCAGAAGCCACCTGGTTAACCTGACCTTCCTCCAACCCACCCTAAGTGTCCTTATCTCTGTAGGAGATTCTTTCCCCACAGTTTAACTGGTTGTCACACCTCATCCAGTTCTTTTTCTCCTTCCAGATTTACTCCCAGTCCCTGTGTTCCTAAACTGGTTTTATTCCCATTGCACTCTCCTTCTACAGCAAGCTTAGTTCTCTCTCCAGTAGATTATACCCCATTTGCCATCAGAAAATGATTCATTTCTCAATATTCCACCCATTTACACTTAGAGTAGGAGCAACCTCCTTTCCTTTAAGTTCCATGAGAGGGATGTGCTTTGCACAGCTCTTCTGGGATGAGTCAGCTCTGACACCCAGATGGTTTCCTCAGGAGAAATCACCCAGCAGTACTCTGCCATTAGTCAGACTCCACGTCCCAGGTAACTCCCAAATTCCTGCTCAAGGTACAAAGGTCTTGGAGARCAGCAGGTCTCATACCTGGTCTGGTATCAAAGTAAAAACAGGGCATCTTCTTGCCCTTGGTTACTCTGGAGGGGATCTGCTGGGGAAGCCTCATCCAGTCAAACCAGATGGCAGCTGTGCCATCATTGGTCACTTTTAGGAAACTCTCAACCTTCTTACTAACCAGACTCTCGAAGGTGACCCGAGCAGCAATGCCAATTTCATTCTACAAGGAAGAGGAAAAAAATAATAATTTCTACTCTATCTGGCAGGATTTATCACACATGAAGTCATAGCTCAAATAAGGGGTTGAGCCTCAGCAGGAGGACTTGTAAGGCAGGTCCAGAGAAGTGGCCATTACACAGAAAGAGCCTGGGAATCTGAACCTCACACCATAACCAGAGCCTTTCTGTTCCTAGATCTGAGATCCTGAGTAAACACAGGGATACTCTATTATGTTCAGARTAAGTCTGAACATAATTTTATGTTMAAAATAATTCTGTGGCCTGGGAGYGACACTCATTGTAGAGCTGTGACTTGGGAACTCAAATAGGCTTAGCTTGACTAAACAATTAAAATCTCACAATTACCCTGCGAGCAGCGACGCCCTTGATCCAACGAGCAGGAAGGCCACAGAAAACTAAAGATGGAACCTGATCAACTTCTGGAACCTTAGTGAAGGAGGCCTCACTGCAGGCCTCGCTGCTAAAGAGAGCAAAAGACAGCATTTTCATGGCATGAAATTCACTTCCAGAGAGGGGAGAACCAGAGGTGATTTACAACAACCTGTTAGAAAGAATCCAAATTAATGCTTTTCCAGTAATGTCTTTAGGGACAGGGCCCTGCAGATGTGGTGAATCCCAGCTAGCTACAGGTTACTGGCAAGAAGGACAGGACAGCCAGAATATTAAACAATAAGACTTGTTTGAGGTACATGACTGAAAAAGAACAAGAGGCACTCAAGTTGTGCCTGTTACAGGTGGACAAGASAGGGAAAAACAGGAAATTAATGATGGAAGGTTAGAAAAAGACAATGAAATGGAAGCAATTGAGAGCAGAATCCCACCCTGCCTGATGTAAGCTCTGGAACCACACGGAGGGAAGACTGAAGGAAGGGACTGAACAAAATTTATCTCTGATTCTTGCTGCTTAGACACAAGGCCCCAAGGCACAAAGATTMCTAAATCTGGTGATTATAGTATAAGAATCAGCTTTGTATTGTGCCTCGGTGGAGACTCCTCTCCATTCTCAATAAGGACAGCTAAGGATACCCTCACAAACTGGTGGTGCAACCCCAAAATTCTTTACTTCTACCACAAAGTAAAACTTACAGGGACTCCATGTCATCAGAGATGGCAGAAGGTCGAATGGCCCTGGCTGAGACAGATGTGAAAGAATGTCCTTTCCCAATCACCTCCAGTTCATCCAACTCCTGGACATACACAAAAATAACCAACTCACAGCTGCTCTTTGATAAGAAAGGACATTAAAATACCAGACAAATGCACCAACTCAGTCAAGTGAAGTGGAGATATCTTGCTCCTACAATAGTTTTCAGAGGTATCTGAAGAATGCTCAAGAGACACAGGAAGGAACCAATTCTGAGATTCCCAAGAATCCTAGATGAATGCATTCCCCACTACCAATGATGCATGGAGAAAGTCTCCTTCACACGTTTCTCATCCCCAGAGACAGGTTTCAAAGAGAAAAAARTGAGGTTTGTTCTGTTTTTACAAGAAGGGGACACCTGCCTTCAGATTTCAGATATGAGTCTTCCACATGGGCAAAGATCTCCTCCCTCTGCCCCAGGGCACTAAATCAAATTCCTGCCCCAGTATTTGGCAGGTATTTCTTTGCCTAGGTCATGGCAGCTGCATGCTGCTGGTTTGGGTTCTTACTCTAAGGCTCCTAGGCTACTCCATGCAACACTTTGGGAGGCCAGACAGAACTCTTACAGCAGTGTGGCCCTTTGGAAATGTGGAAACCTCCAGGAAAAATATTGTGGGATGAAGTTTTCACTTCCTAATGCTTTTTCAGATCCAGCTCTTGGAAATTTTATGTCACTTTACAGCACCTGACAAGAGACACAAAGAATGTCCTTGCTCCTCTGGTCTTACCGGCTTATGAAACCCCAGCTCATCTAGGATAGMTTTTAGTTCCTGCCGTCGATGTTGCAGAAAAAGACTCTTATCCCAGTTAAAATGGCAAGGAATCCTCTTTGGAGGCTTTGTACCTGTGGAAATACCCATTCAAGAACTCACTCTCTACACACTCACATGCCTATCRAATTTCGCTCTCTGCCAAATTTTGGTTTTGTGATGTTTTAAAGAGGAGATTCAACAGGGAAGGAGCTGCTCCCTAAACAGCTRTGCCCCATTTCTTTGGAATCGCCTCTCTGCAGTGTTCCCTTACCTGTTTCCCTCTGGATAGTGTGAGGTTTCCCCACGTGGGTGACTGGCTCTGGGTACCCACATTCTGTCCGGGTCAGGGTCAGAGTCAGCCCGGTGAGGTCATCCCCRATTTTGTCAGGAAGGTTCCAGAACTCGCTTCCCACGTGGTATCCCTAGGGTGGGAAACAAAGCTCCCACTGACACAGAGTCATGCAGCTATCTGCTATTTTCACAGGCACTAGAAGCTAAAAAGGAGCAATCTAACCCTGCCTATATGAAGATTTTAAAAGCCTATGAATTATCCATTTCTGCAGAGCAAGCCAAAATTTCTATCAAGCTGCTGTCAAAGACAAAAGAACTTTCTTCTATCACGTGAAGGTTGAACGACATTAAAATAAAGCCTCACACAAATGCCAMGTCTTTGATAATGCTATAAATGTAAAAAAAGAATTTTAACACAATACTCTCATAACCCTCCTGCCTTACCCATGCCCTTTACTCCATGGTAATTGCTAAAATCCAAGCCTGAAGCTATCAGATCTTTCTGCCCCTGGAACAGCAATCGTGACATGTTCCCATGCCRCTTCCCAGGGCTCAGCAGTCTTTGGGGAGAACCAAGAAATGCCATTTTCTCATCACCACTTTCCCCTGACTAGTACAGATAGCACAGTTCAAGTTTTTATTTTTCATGTCCCTGAAAGCTCTGCTCGCACACCAGGCTGAGGGACTCAGCGCAGCTTTGATAAACATCTCCTGACAGCTCTTCAGAGAGTTACTCAGAACAGTGTCTGTGCTGTTTCACAAGAGCAGMACAATCAGGACACACAGGAAGTGGGGCTCTCACCTTTCCAGGAAATAGAGCAGGGAGAGTCCGGTCAATGAGGTCACGTTCTTCCTGAATTTGCCTGTAATTGTCYGACATGTTCATCAGCAATTCGTTCTCTGGCTTGTCAAGAATTTCTATAAATAAGAAACATCATATCATTGGTGCTGCACTTCTGGGCACACCCTTTGCCACCCTTCTTCACCTGTGACCCACTTACACCGTCCCCTGCCTAATCCCCTTCCCCTAACCAGAGCCACCAGCACGAGCAGTGTGGGAGCTCTGAGAACACAGAATTAGACTGCAGTGGCAATAGAATTAACCCTGGTGGGCAATGACCACTGCAGTTTGGTGTGGGAACATCAAACTCCCCTCCCTGCACACAGAATTTCACAGAATGAGGCCTCCTCAGCTTTTCTCACCTCCTAGGTGTTTCTCCTGYTTTTTCCTCATGGCCATATTGTGGCTCCAGTTTCGGAAAGCTCTGTGCTCTGGTAATTGGGCCTGATGTGTCTTTTCTTTCCTCCKCTCTTTTTCATACTCCTCTTTTAAAGCTGCTATAATAGCATCTGGACAAGGAATCTTAATAGCATCTGCTAGCTGATGAGAAAGGAAACATGAAATGAACTTCYCCTTGCACACTAAAACAGGAATGGGAGTGGGGAGCAGAGAAGAATTCTTCAGGTTGACAGGACTTTTACATTAGCACTCTGAGAGGAAGAAAACCAGGGCAGTAGGGACACTCAGATACAACGGAAGTATTTATCTAAGTAATGAGTAATGGCATTCCTGCAACACCAGCTCTTCCCTGACACCATCAGCAGGACACAGAGGGAAGAGGAAGCCTGCRTAATTGTTCCCTCCATGACCTGGTCCTGCACACAGGACTCCAAAACCTGCTGGTGCAGTTTGTCCAAAGGCAAACCCTCCCCCAGAGTGTGACGAAGTTGGGAAAGCCACACCTCAGGCCAGCCCTGCTCCTGATAGGTGCTGGAAAGCATCGAAAGGTACTGCAGGCACCACACTCCACCTCTGGAAAAGTGCCACGCAGCAGCATTTTCCTGACCCTACAAACCAACCTGAGTGTTTTTTCTGGCCAAGGCTTCCATCCTGAACTCCTCCAAACTTCCCAGAATGTGATGAGGGAGGATCTCTTCAGAGCCATCCTCAAACTGTTTTTGTCCTACAGCACACATAGAAAAATACCCAACCTCAGAGCCAGGTCACTAAAGTTTGGCTTAGCAAAGCCAAAACCCAGAGGTAAGATGTGAAGCTGAACCCTACCAGGAAARGTGAGTGGTCCCCTGGGTGCCCCGAGGTGAAGAGGATGTGCTACAAGATGTGTCACCTCCTTGGGTAGGTATTTTCGGACCAGGTACTGCCTCCTAACTGGAGATCTCCCAGCATCGTCGGGAAGGCGTGGAGCATGAAGCTGCAGGAAATAAACACAGTGCAGTTGGGTACACACTGACTCACCTTTATTGCACCTGATCCTTTTAGGATATGCACAGAAGTCATATCAGTACAGTTCCTGTAAGAATGGTGCGAGGCCTGGAGAGGGACTTTTCACAYGGACATGTAACAAYAGGACAAGGGGGAASGGATYCAAACTRGAAGAGTAGRWTTGGATTAGGTATTRGGAATAAAYTCTTCCCTGTGAGGGTGGTGGGGCCCCAGCACAGGGTGCCCAGAGAAGCTGTGGCTACCCCATCCCTGGAAGTGGCCAAGGCCAGGTCAGATGGGGCTTGGAACAACCTGGGAGAGTGGAATATGTCCCTGCCCATGGCAGGGGGTGGAAASAGATGAGTCTCAAGGTCTTTCCCAAGCCAAATCTTCCATGATTCTTCCCCTACAAGACATCTTACACAGCTGTGCAGATCCCAACTTAGTTATTGTCTTATTCCTCTGGATCCTGGTTTATAAAAGAGGCACAGAAAGGAGAGTTTTAAATTACTTTCCCAAGGGATTTCTGCTGCTGTATCACTCAAATGCTTCCACTCACGCACTCTGGCCTGAAGGAAAGCCTGGAAAACTACTAAAAAACTAACAGGTTTATTAGACAAGAAAGTTGGACATGCACTTTTGAAGAGGCAAATGATTTATCCTCCATTTAAAAGGATCRTATAAAGACCAATAATACTTTACTTTTAGCAACTGGACCTGATGAGCTGACATTTTATCACTATAAAAAGCAGGACAGACAAAATGGAATGAGAACTCAGCTGCAAGAGTGGGTTTTGGCTTAACAGAGGGCAGCACCCTCTGTTAAACACACAGAARGGGAGTGTCAGTTGAGGCAGCTGTTTCTACCAGTAAAAATACTCATACATACTTTCTTCAGGTCCTCCACCTTAATTGCAAGTGCCTGGATGTCCTCTCCTTGCAGAACATATGGAGCAGGCTTAGGCTTGGACTCAGTCTCTTCTGCAATTGTTGAATACATAAGTTCAGAGTTCTTTGCCTTGTGTCCTAAAAACAAATGAAGAGRCTTCATGTTCAGTCTCCCAAGCAAATACCATCTTCCTTTTTCAGCCTGGTTAAGGATTTCCAGTTGAACTATGTTCGGGATTATTTCTCTTTAAGGTTGCATTTCTTGTAATTGAAAAAAAAAGCAGCTTCTGCGAAGCTGCAAAGACCAAAGTGGGTCAAGCAGGAGTGAATTGTCTTACACTTTATTCTAGACGAGAGACAACGGGTAAGATAAATGCAAATAAATACAGATCCCCTACAGGTGGAACACCACATTCCTGGGAAGATTCCGGCTCCAGCTGCAAGTGCAAGTCCACAGATACCCTGTGCCCTACCAGCACGMCTCGGATAACAAACCACTGGATTTCAGAAGCTGTTCAGTGGCAGAACAGCTCTGGAATAACCAAACCCGGGCAGAGCCGGGTGCGGGGCAGAGGTACCGGTACCTGCGGGCCGGGCCAAGCTCAGGGGAACCCACCGGAGCTATTTCTGCCCCCCGCCACCCTTAACCTGCGCGTCCCTCCCGCTGGGACCGCCTCCTTTAAAAAGAAATTATCACAATAGTGACACAGGGGTCACTGTTTGGGGAAGGGGTTGGTTACGGCCGCTGACAACCGCGGCCCCACCGAGGCCGCAGGCCCGGCCCTGCCCGCCCGCGCCCTGCTCCGGGCGTACTGAGGGAGCTCCGGCTGCGGCTCCGGGACCGCGGCACCCGCCGKGAAGCCATGTCCGGGCCGGTGTCCCCGTCTCCGGGCTCCGAGCAGGTGGCGGTGTGTGGCGATAGAGCGGCCGGGCACCGCGCGGCCTGAGGGCACCGGCAGCACCGGGGAGCACCGGGGAGCACCGCCCCCTGCCGGCCCCCCGCGGAACCGCCCCGCCGGGCGGGAACCGCCGTGCGCATGCGCCGCCTGCCCGCATGCGTGTGCCG